AACAACTAAAAAAGTTATGGGGAAAAATTTAGGGAAACTACGCAATGGCCTATAGTGAACAACTGATTCTATTATGCGTCTCGAGAGGTCTGTGCTCTAATCGCTTTTCTAGTTTTGCTTTATTTGTGGGAAGAAAAACATTACTAACAAGAATATCTCCTGGTTACATATTATGTCTATAATTGTGTCAAGCGTATCGAGACCCAGACCTACTACATACAATACTAATAATCAAGATTCAATAGTCTCAAGTCTTTCTGTCCAAGTTCTTCTGTGAATCTATTCTTTCTTTTGTCTGCCCTAAACTGTTTATTCTGCTAATTATCTGGACAGTAAAACAAAAAATGTGTTAGGGTTAGGGTTAAATCTTTATGTTTCATACGCCCCCTCCATAGAACAAATATAGACTACCACCAAAACAAGCAGGCATGCAAATTAACCTCAGCTGGTTCCAAATTATAAAACTACATTACAGAGCATTTTAAATGAGATATTCTGAGCTCATTACCATGTCATGAATAGTCAAATAGATAAATCATTACCTAATTCATGAATCAGAAGTTTCCATCGTCGTAGTGTTCTCAGTGTTCAGCTAAAATAAATTACATTATGACCACTGTTACATTACCTACCTTCATATTTAATGGTACATGGAGTTTTGTTCCTGACCACTCTTGAAAATCCAAAAGGTCAGAAAGTTGGAAAGTTCACTCGGCTCAACAGTGCAGTGACTGATTTTTGAATCGCTCTACTGCCTTGTTATTCCAGGACTGATTCTACTGAAAAAGCTGGAGGCACTTTTGATCCTTTCCATGACCGGTGCTATCATATTGAGAGGACAAAGTGGCCAGGTCATTTCACAGCTCTGCGATAATGATCCAATCCACTGACAGGAGTCGCAGAAGGCATATTTAGATATTATATTTTGCTTTTTAGCACTGTGCATTCCATAGTAAATTGGTGATAAAATGAAGGATGTGAAAAGCATTCCATTATCACTGCTGACAACACATTCTCAGACATAATGGACCTCCCTTCAATCTTTTTATATTTGGATATGCTTTTAGCACAACATTGTATGTTTATGCCAATTTTCTTTTTTCACATTATAGATTATTATAAAACATGGGTACTAGCACTAATGTTTGATCAGACCCAACTTTAAAACATGCATCTTAATAATAGCGATTACCTTTCTGCACTTCATAACACACATAACTTTTAATCATTTAGTATAATTAAATAACTCATTTATATTATTTATATAATTTCTGTAAGAGCCTTGTAAGAGTAAGATGCCATTTATTGAGTATAGTTACCTTGTTATTACGTAGCATGGTAAACATACTGCCAAACATAGGGGCTGGTGCTATGAGACTTGGGTGGCATCTCTGACTGCCACCCGCCTGACCCAGAAATGGATTAAAGGGTAGAAAATGGATGGATGGATGGATGGTAAACATACTGATGAATCAAAACAATTAAGCAATTCATAGTTGTGTGCAGCGTGTGTGTAATGTATTTATTGAAATAAATTGTAAACTTGAATTGATTGTACAACTTTGATAACCACAGCAGAATTAGAGGTGCTTAGCTAATCATGAAACTGCATCAAATCAGGGCGGACGTTTTGCACTTTAGCTCCATAATCGTGGTGTCACTTTGGCGTGGTCTTAAATGAAAACACTTGCGGGCACGGCTGGCACTGTCATTAATACTGATGTGCCGGGGGAACAGATGCGCCCCAATCAAAGATGTTGCACACACAAAAAAGAATAAATCATTCACTGAACAGAAATTAATCTACTGGCTTTGGGCACAACAAAGCTCTGAAAGAGGTTCTTTAGTGCCAGTCAATAATAGAATTTGGTGGGAAAAAAAACCTCTGAAACAATGCACTGATGGAGAAAATTAGACTCCGTGATTTAGAAGTTGAGAAATGGGGAAAGAATGCAAGTAAACAACAAACAATGATATCAAGTTATTAATGCACAGTGCGGCTTTATGCAAACATGTTGATGAAGCTTTGTGGAGAAAGAAATTCACAAGAGGTGGGACTCCTATAAATATAATTTATACAGTTTAATTGCCAAAATATGTGTGGAATCACCCCCCTCATTTTGTGGAAATCGTAGTCACGTTTTGTCTCGAGGCAAATTGAGACACATGTGACCCTCTGCAATAATATATAGTCAGGTTTGGGACAATGACAATTCTCATCTTTTTGACTCTTTGACCAACACAATGGATTTGTGGTAACTGGAAAAGTAATTGGGTGACAAATTCTTCCCTGAAAGGTATGGGCCTTAAAAAATGAGTGGTGTGGCGCCACCTGCATGTGAAAGCCAGATATCTAAAGCTAAGAAGGGGAGAACCTGGTTAGTACTGTGATGGGAGAGCTTTGGAAACACTAGGTGCCACAGTGGGGTGTAAAGAAAGTGCTTTTATGTCCTTAGGCAAGACACTTAACTCACATGACCTAGTATGACTCTAGTGTGTGTGTGTGTGTGTGTGTGTGTTGCCTCGCTTCTGTCAGTTTGCCCCAGGGCAGCTATGGCTACAGTACGAGCTAATTACAACAGACTGAATAATGCAATGTGCAGAGTCAGTGTCCAAAGAAGCTCTATGTAAAGACAGATGCGTTCAAGAAAAGAAAATGGATGAAGCTCTGCCAGGGACCATCTTGTTTGAGGGGATTTAACCTTCAGTTTAGCGTCAGGTGATTGGACTTGGCCATTTCATAATATTCCACTTTTTTGTCTTGAAAAACAGAGCAATTACTTACTGGTTTCTAACTTTGCTCATCATTATTTTGAATTCCAAAACATTTCATTTGGCCTCACCTAATACTCTGCCATTTCTGATATTGATATATATTGCATCCTTCTCCTTTGGGAAATGAAAACGATAGAATAACCCACATAGGGTGGAGCAGCCACCCTTGAAAATGTGGGAGGCAGTTATACAAATTGCTGTAAATCCTATAACAAATATGAATGTAAAAAACCTTAAAAGTCTGATCTAAATAAAGAAGAAATAACTATCTTAACAAATGGCAAACAAGGGACTCAATTAGTATCAGGACCCAGACCACATTGAATTGAAGTCCATCTTCAGCACATGTGCAAACAAGTCCCACCTCATTATGTTTAAGTTATGTCTGTGCATGAATCCAGAATCCGTGTCCGCCTTCTGATAGAAGATAGATTAACACGAATCCGTGGCATTTTGTTCAGACGTTCTTTGAGGAATATTAAATACAAAGACAGCAGCAGACCTAACCCCAATGTCTTTTAATAACGGATTTTAATAATTAATAGAAGGCATGCAAAACATACTCCTAAGTCACTTTTTATTCATACTTATCATTTTTGTAATTATGCATTTAAAAACGAAGAAGAATGAGATAAGACACTGTCCAAACCATTAGAAATGTGAATGTAATCAAATGTTTTCTAACCTTTTTTTTTATTTTTTACATGCATTATCACTATAGAACAACATTTGTAAATAACATAATACTACAGACGGCTCACAGCATAGTGTGAAGCAGCTGGGATGAAAATCAGCAGCTCCAGATCCAAGGCCATGGTGCTCGACCAAGGAAAAAAAGGGGACTTGCCCTCTCTGGGTGGGTGGAGGGAGCTTAGTCAAAAGCTCTCGATTTGCAGGCCAATCTACGTTCCCATCCTCACCTATGGTCATGGCTTTGGGTAATGACCAAAATAATAAATATCGCCAAAATATAAGCGGCCAAAATCAGTTTCCTCTGCAGAGTGGCTGGGCACTCCCTTAGTATTAGAGAGAGGAGCTTGGTCACAAGAAAGAAGCTCTTGAGTAGAGCCACTGCTTCTACACATTGAGAGGAGCCAGTGGATGTGGTGAGTTTCAGATGCGTCCTGGACGCCATCTTGAGAAGTTCAAACACATTACACAATATGATATTATTATTACAAAAACTGATCAATAGTTTGCTGTTAACTGTCACATGTCAGCCACGTTATGACAACTTAGGGATCATTCCGTTATTCTTAACTATCTGGACTTGATAATTGACAGCCTCAGTGTTGACATGTAAAGGTCACACTGCCCCGGCGTTTCCTGTCTGTAACCTTTATCGAACTGCCCATTATTTCTCACCCAAAGCTCATCCAAATCCAGCCACGCTTCACCTCCTCAGGCCAAGTCAGGACCTTACTGACCCAGCTGACCACAACTCACCAGTGCACAGATGGCAGAGAGGCTGCGATCCCAGAAGAAAAACCAATCAAATACTGTCCCAAAAAAGATGATATGAGCAAAGACACGATCCATCAATCCAACCAATAATTTACCAATTAAACACGCTCAAAAGCCTCAGGGAGACTTATACAACTGGCATTATAGTTAACAGAAAACATGACAACAATATACATATACATATACAATATACATATCCATAAGTATACATATCCATAAAAATATCCATAAGAATAATGAATCAAACATATGCAATCAGTAATATTGTGAGACAGTATAATGTGGGAATGTCTGTCATGGTATTTTAGCTAAACACTTTCTAATGCTCTCACCAACTTTTGCACTTACTAGTCGGTGCCTGGGCTTCACCAATTTATTATTATTAAAATTAAGGAATCCATCATTAAAAAATATATATATATAAATCAAGATTTTTTTTTCTTTCAATGTGGTTAATATCATGTAGTTAATAATTAGGTAAATTAAAACCCAATTCGACCCCAATAACATCTTTGTTACTGACTCATAATATAAAGCACGGAAAACAACAAAAACACATGAATAATTCCGTTGTGTTGTAGAAAGGAGTCGAGGAGGATGTTGCATGTCCAATGTTGTGAGCCTCAAAAAATGAACTGAGGAGGTCTGGTCCATGGATCTATTATATTCGGTCTGGTCCATGTTTTCTGTCGGTACCTCCGTGGGCACCTCCCTCAGCCTCCGCGTCAGCCCGTGACTCCTCCCTTAGCAACCGGAGCAAGATGGCAGCCTCCTGTAACACAGAGCATTCTCCGGAGATAACAGCGCCCCTAAAGACACCCAAAACAGAGATGCCATCGCCTGAGTCGGAGGATTTAAGTGACGGGAACTTATACCATTCAAACCCTTCGACCCCAAACCGCTTCTCGCCTCTGAATGTGGGCTCGTCGTGCAGCGCGGGGCGTATGGCGGCCTCATCCTCCGCCAACAGCTTCACTGCATGCCGAGGGATGTCCTGGACCCCGTCCGAGACCAACGCACTGATCGCGGTATGGGGGAACGAGCGGTTGGCCGAAGCGAGAATGCAGCAGCTGGAGGTGGCTGGGACCGTCTTCTCCGGGAAGGCTCCAGGTCCAGCCATGTACGAGCGAGTGTCCAGGGCTCTGGCCGACCTGGGCTATGAGCGGACCCCCTCCCAGTGCCGCGAGCGGATGAAGGTGATCACCAACAATGAACCCTCATGTATCAATTCTGTCTCTAAAATACGTGAACGATCACACTCTTCTTTTAAAATGAAAACAAATACAAACACAAAGTTGTTTGTATTCTGGTGTTAATGTTTTCTTTACTGTTTTCTAAAGCACCGTGGTTCATGTGTATGAATTTGTGCTATAAACTTGCCTGTCAGTTGATTTCAGTTAGATACATTTAACTGACATCAACTGACTGATGTCAGTTGGATACATTTCACATAAGCATTTTATTATATGAAAAACAAGGACGGACAACAATTATCCATGCAGCTATAAATATATAAATATAATAATGATGAGCAGGCCTAATTGTCTGTCACTGTTGAAAGAATATCCTTCACTGTAAATCATTTTCCTGTAAAATACCAGTAAAGAGCAGGCAGCAGGGTTGTCAGATCTTTACCCTTATTTTTACGGTATTTTAACATACAGTGACCTTACGGTAATAATCTGTAAAAAGAAAAACAGTATATTTCTGTTTTACTACAATTTACAGTAAAGAGCTGGCAGCATAGTATTATTTTACGATATTCATAGGTAAAGTTACTCAACAGTAGTATTCTGTAAATCACAGATTGAGATCACAGTATTATGTAAATCACAGTTTAATACAGTAGAAGTAACAATACATGAATACATACAGCAGTTATTATGTTATTTTAGTTTTTTGAATTTTTTTTTCATAAAATGGCCACTGTTTGAAAAATCAATACCTTCCGTGTCTCAAACAACACATGTTCAACATAGCAATAAGACCACTTTGAAACTATGTCAGTAGAGAATGCAACAGTAAAAACATGAATAGATGAAACCAAGCTGTGCCACTCCAAGCTAAACTTACAGTTTACGTCTTATAACGTCCTGTGAGGTAACGTTAGACTTATACTTTCACATCTTCTTGTTAACTCACTTTTGAGGCCTCTGTTCCTCACAGCAGAATCATTCCAGTGTTTCCTCTGTCAAAGAACAACAATCGTAATTATTACAATGTCAAAATCAGAAATGCTCAGTAAACACTCCAAAGGAATGGTTTTACATCAGACTGGAGTTACAACAAAATCCTTTTCAGATATTCAATTAAATGCAATGTTTGTTTATTTGTTTTTGTTTCACTGTTCAGATAGATTGAATGACAAATAGAAGCTGCATCAAATACATAACACAATTTACAACCTAAATGTACAATGTTAATACCATTTCATGCAAAATATAAAAACATTGATTTAAATGTATCTTCAAAGAAGGTCTTTTACCTTCCAGGGAGTCTTCGAATCCATTCCTAATTCAAATCCAAGCTTCACTGATAGGGCATATTTAAATCACTTGAAAACAATCTTCTGACCAACAACTGAATACCAAACATTAATATGAAAAAGAGCTTAATTACCATTTAATTTGTAGATGCAAGATGTTCACTATGGTGTTGAAGAACACGCGATGATGTGTAGCACATCTAAAGTCATCCTGGCAGTTCTGATTTCCACATGATTATAATAATAATAATAATTTCATTTATAATGCACTTTACATTTCAATTAAATCTCAGATTAACCATCATTAACCATCAGACATGATGGTTAATGATGTCCCTCCAGATGTTGATGGCAGATTAGTTCTGTATTGTATCTATATTTTTTACCAAAAACATGTCTGGCTTACTGTATGTTTTTACCATGCTCCAAAATACCCACATCATTGTGCTTTTATTTCAAATATACTGTAGTGTCCTGTAATTTAAACATCATTATACTGTTAGCGGCATTTGTCCTGTTGCTTCTAGCTAAGCAACCCATAATGCATTGCAAACTACGGTACTACATGAAAACGGTACTTTAGTGTTGAAAATTGGGTGTAAATTTACAGCAATTTCTTAAAGTGTATGCTTCAAAAAGACAATGCTGTTTGTTCCCGTTGATCCAGACGCTGCGACGCTGCTATAGTCGGGTGAAAGAGCATGGCATTGGTAAGCGAAAGAGCAGCTACACACTGGAGCAGCTGGAGAAAGTGTTTGGGCAGGGGGGCTGGGATGCTCAGAGTTGTGCCCCAGTGCTCATTAATAGCAGTGGCCTGTACCAGGAGATGGAGTCTGACAGTAGCACACTGGAGGACTTCTCCCAGGAGGACTGGTGCAACCATGTGTTGGACTCAGCGTTCCAGGAGGGGGACATGGAGACGGGTCAGTAGTAGCATTTTCAAGGAGATGCATGTGTGAATGGATAAAAATTGTATGTTGTAACATTGTTTTTGCTTTTTGTAACTAGAAGACATCCAGGTGCCTAAAAACAGACTTTTTCCACTTCAGTCAGTGCTGACAGAGCAAACACAGTGAGTATACAAGAAATTACCATTTCATACTTGAAAACTACACAGTACACCTTCAAAGTTTTACAATGGTGTTTATATGTGTTCCTAGAAAACGGGAGACTATGCAGACTGTAATTCGTATCCTTGAGGCGGTGCCGCTAAAATGGGAGCTTTTCCACACTTGGACGGAGTTCTCACGGCTGCACCTGTCCAACAAACTGGCAATCTTTGGTGTGGGCTACAACACGCGCTGGAAGGAGGATGTGCGCTACCACTATGCTGAGATCAGCTCGCAGGTACCTCTGGGCAAGAGGCTCCGAGAATACTTCAACCCTGAGAAGCCAGAGGGTCGCATCATTATGACCAAGGTCCAGAAGATGAACTGGAAAAATGCGTACTACAAGTTCCTGGACATTACGATCAGTGAGGCGCGCTGCCTTGAGCTACACATGGAGGTGGACTGGGTCCCCATATCCCTGTCCAGAGCAGCCAGCTGTGGTAAGGGCTCCAGCCACTACCGTCTGCCTGGGGACATTCCAAAGACTTACGGCCTTTATGCGATTGGCTACGAACTCATGCCAGCCTGTAATCATAGTCCTCACACCTCCTCACAAGACGATGAGCTAAACATACCTCAGTCAGAGAATGGAGGGCACAAAAAGGCGGGTGCCAATGCCACTTACTGCTATTTGGGCATTGCTGAGGAGCGCACCCTTCAGCAGAGTCTGTTTCAGCACTTTCAGGCCTCTGGTAAGCACGCAGCCCATGGAGAGCCTGCCGCTGTCACACGCTTTCTACAGGAGAACTGTAACCCTGGATCCAGTCTGAACAATGGAGAGACTGACAGCCCCCCTCAACAATATGCCATTTATATCAAGTTTGTGGAGGTAGAGCTAGACTTCTTGTCCGCAGGCTCTCTGCTGGAGTGCCTGGAAACTGCTGTGGGTTATTCCCTAGAATTCAACAAGGAGCCAGTGTAACTCATATGACCATTTAGGATTGGAGCAATCAGTGCAGTGTTCCCAATTTACCTTGGCACAACTTGAAGAAGCTGAGTGCAAAAATCATCAATTTGTAACATCTTGTCTTTCTTTAATTCTCATAACTCAAGAAGTACGGCTTCAGTTTGTGGTTGGTGAATATGAACAAAAAGATGAATGACATAAACACTAAAATATGTGTTTCAAATTGGGCTGCTTTAAAATACCTGATGAATTTATTGTCGAGTATCTGGGTGATAACTGCAAGAGGCGCCTGTCTACCTCAGTAGGATGTAGCAAACATGGCCACACAGGGGGACTAATATGTGTATTAATGAAACACTGCCTTCACTTTATTCTTGTGGTATGGACTTGAAAAGTTATGTTTTGCTTTATTTTGCACTTGCCACTGGACTGCCACTAGAGATGATCTGATAAATAATACTTACAAGTTGGTGTTACTTTTCGCGGCTTACTATTTAACATGTTAAACAAAGAAGGGCTACTTCGGGGGCTATTTTGTTGGATATTCTGAACATTTATTTGAACAAAACATTCAGTTTCAGTATTGCAGCTTGAATTTTGCTGCTACATGTGGATGTTTAGTGCCATGCTCTGGGGTTGACTTGAATACATTAGCAAGAGTTTTACCTGGGTCATCTCTAGTTGCACATTCATGTGTTTTCAGTATTATAATATTGAATTTAAGTTTGAAGGATGCCACATTTAAATTATTTAATTACAAACATCAATATGGATATTACTTTATGTGTAAACTGCTGCTGTAAAATTGTTATGTTAATGTATAAAACAATCTCTTTTTTTCTAATTACTGAGGTAATGTGCAATGTGTCAGGGATATGTATAAGTTGGATGAAGGAAAACTGAATGATACTGTATATGACATTTGTTATATAGTTAATATATATTTAAGAATATTGTTGTTATTGAGCATTCCAGCTTTCTGCAAAGGTGTTTTTATTATTATTATTATAAAGTATAATATATTTTATATATTTTGGTTGACACCAAGTCTGTATGTGATTGTTTTGAGGTCACTGTCTCGTATGTTTACATGTTTAAAATGAATAAACAGGGCACTCAAGGTTTTGCCTTGGAATTTTTTTTTCTATCTTGACAAAAAATAAAGTTTCATATTAAGTGGAAGGGAGAAGTGGCAGTTATCAGTTGGCCACACAAATTGGTTGGTATTTCATTTAATTATAATAAACTGTGTAATTTTCATCTCATGTTCTCATGCAAAAACGAAAAGACATGCTGTAGTTCATTCTTTCTCCATGAGATGGAGCCATTGACATTTTCATAAACAGGAACCCTAGATCCATGCAGCAACCACACCACCATTTAGTACCATCTGCTGTATGTATTTATCTTAGACTGTATTTAGGTCTATTATCTAATTAATTTCTTAAAAACGAAACATAAGGATACTTTCAACAAATACTATTTCAAAGTAAACACGTTAGATCTATTGAAAATAGGGCAGTGTTATAATAATCACAAGCTTAAAAGTCAACACAGGTTAATGCCACTGTCACTCAACTCTGACATGTACTAATAATCTGATAATCTGATCCAAAAACAATAGATTCTCACATTCCGGACATCCCATCTTCCCACTGTTAGGTTTATGGAATATAGATGGACATGATGGTCATATAACATATAAATAACATTGTAATTCTGACTTTAAGCAGGCAAATAGCTCCTCTAGTTTAACTGCAGGGCTCCTTTAATTTGAATGCATGCATTTCCAATAAATGTGGTAAAGCGCCATGAGTGTACCATTATAATGTTTACTGCTTCTTTGTTTAATGTTCCTTCTGTTTGCACTCAATTCTTTTTCTGACAGCCTGGCAAATTTACTCTAACCTGCCCCTGGGGTGGTTGGGTCTGCTTACTGTTGGCTTTTTGAGTGTCAAAGAATGGTGCTGCATTGACTCCCTCAGTTTATTTCACCCCCTCCAAGTAAAAACAAGTGCATGTTGACATCCCCTTCAGAACATGGTATGGTCTCCGCTTGAGGTTCAGATGCAATTACCAACAACACAATGAAATCTGGGCTCACAAGAAATAAAGAAAACTCTAATACCCTTAGAGGTTGCAGTACAGCTGCTTTTTCAAATGTAGGCATAATTTTTCACTGTTAATCATAGATATTTATAAGAAGGATTATTTTTCCAGGTAGTGGATGGCTCGCTCGCCTCTCAGCATTATGGTCCTGGGTTCGACTCCAATGTACGATCTTCCTGAATGTCGTTTGTATGTTCTCCCTATGACCACATAGATTCCTCCCAGCTTAACAAAACCTCAAAACAACCCTGCTGTTCTGATCTACATAATTGTGTTCTCCAATGTATAATCGATGACCAATCTTACTCCTAATGCTCTCCAACATACACTGACACATACAATCAAAAATGTATTAACACCACATTCATACTTGACACAGCTATAAAAAACGACATATTAACAACAAATTAAAACAATCACTGGCATAAATGCAGGAATAGTAAGAGCACGGCTGCCAGTGGTGTTGGGGCTCCTCACAATTGTCCACTCCAGATCTCTATGCTATCACTTTGTAATGGCCCCTGCTTCTTTAAATCTAATCACAGCAATAACCCCTGTTCACCTTATATAATTGAGCAGTCTTTGCACATTAGCCTCATGCCTGTTGCTAAGGGAACTGGGCAACCTAAGAAAATGAAATAAAGGGGTCTGAGCACCTTTCAGAGCACAGGTCAGTCTAGATTTTGTGCAGGAGGGGGCCAGGAGTGCACCGAGGGAATCCACGTCAAGCTGAGTCCAGTCTGTTTTTGTGTGCTTTTATGTGCCCATCGCGTCACACATGAGAGAACATAAAGCAGAGATTTTGTGCACAAGAGGAGGCGTGTGGGTTATTAAAATAGGCTTACATTGGAGAAGCAAAGAGCAGGGGGAAGTTGGCAAGTTTTATATATATTAAACTGTAATGTGCAACATGAGGCTTGTAGTTGTATGCATGCTGAAGGTGCTTTAATAAAATAAAAAAATAGCTAACAATGTTTTATTGTGATGAGTGAATACGTGGAAATAAACGAAATACATTGAGGATGTACATGTAAAATTCATTTGTTTTGATTCAGTCAAAACATGACTGCTACAAGCTCTCCATGTATTAGCTAATGGTGTGTTCTGAAATGGCTCGGTGGTTTCTGCAAAGAGTGATATAATACAATAACATGCTGACCTCAAAGATTTCAGTCTGGTCACTCACAGGTCGAAAACAGTAGAAGTGAGTCAAAATAATACAGAGCATCTGATGTCAACAATAATATCCTATTAAATATATCTTGCTTTTACCCAGGCTAAACATTTGCACCTGCATGCCACCACAATGGAACAGGTGTACGAGAGCAAAGTTACCGACTACAAACAATAACGCAGACATTCCTGTTTCACTAAAATAAAAGCCGCTTAAAACCATGGGCCTAAAACGTGATGTGTGCCCAAAGCATCTTTTACTTTGAAAGCACTTACCGGATCCAGTAGACCTCCGGTAAAGAAGCCTTGACGATGATCCGCTCCCCGTGTGTGGAGCGCGTCTCCCTCTCCTCTCTTTCATGTCCCCTTTGCCTTCATACTAGGGCCGCCTCTCTAAAGGACAGGGCAGGATGACAAGTTGTGGAGTTGTGAGCGACTCGCAGGGCTGTCGATAAGGACCGAACAGTGACCATTTTAGTTCAACTGGGACGGACAACATTCGGCCAATCTCACTCCTTTACTTTTTACCTGAGCAGTACAACAAGGGGGGCAAAGTGAGCGCATTCCTGGGCGCAGACTGCTCCATATTACCCCTCACCTGTTTGTCCTTTCACTCAAGCTTCGACGGTCTTCCAGACTCCAAAAGCGGTGCAGAAGTTCCGCTGTATAAAGCCGAGAGAAGGACATTAAGACGTAAAGAAGTGGCAGCGAGCATGGAGGTCCACATTAGTCAGAGGAAACTTACTTTGCTCGTCTTCGCCTTCTGCTGCGGGATGCCAGGTCAGTGAAGTGTCTGGTTTGTGCCGTGGTTTCAAATGCAGATGTCCTCGTGCGATTCTCTGGTGTCCTCGCGCGCTTCTTTCAATGATGTGCTCGTGCGCCTTTTTCAAATCACGTGTGTTTAAGGTTTTGCTAGGCTAATATGTTGTAAATAAATACTTACATTTCGTGTTGGCTAATGGCTTAATACAAAGATGTCTAACAATGCGAACATCTTTAGTCAATCCACATACCTGAAACTGTTAATATGCCTCTAATAACATGTAATCAACGAATTATATAGATACAAAAGTGGCATAAAATAATCTTTGTTATGATGTTCACATTTATGATCTAAATGTAAAAATGTCATATAGCCTACACCTTAACTTACACTGGTTAGACTTTGTAAACTACTGTATTTTCGACAGCCAACAGTAATAATAGTTATAGTAATATCATTTTAAAGTAACGGTAGTATAACAGAAATATAAAGTATACTATACTATTAGATCCCTTGCTTTCAAGTAGATTTACCGTGTTTGGGGAGATTTATAGAGTTGAAAGGAGTCAGTGGGTCAGGAGTAAATACAATGAATACATTAAAAAATAAATAATATATAATTTCTATACTTCAATGCCCATGTGTAGAATTGATTTAAGCACCTGTTTTCATAGGATTGAAAACAAGTGTGTTACACATGATTGTCTTTCAGAGTAGAGTAGTATAATCCTTTTAGAGCTGATGATGCACAGTGAGACAGGGTGAGTGCTGAGCCGATGTATTAAACTTACTTTGACGAGTTTCTATTACATGCAGCCTACTTTGACAGCCATCCCCTTTGATTTAGAAAATGGGGCAGGGTACAGCAAAATATTGCTTGAGAAGTTCTGAATGATTTATTTGGGTAAACATCTGTTTTGCGACACATTTGTTTTTGTTTCTTTTCTGAGCAATTATTGACATCAAATTG